ACACACACACACACACACACACACACACACGTCTCTAAACTTGTGTTTCATCGAGTGTTTGCGGGAATTGGCCAGACGCTGGCCAGGTTTCTTACTGGCTACACTGACACTGCAGCTCACATCAATAAAGTGATGGAACATAAACACACAAAAACAACACACACTCAGATGAACAATGTTTGACAGTGGCTTGTAAAGCCACATGTTTGGGTGACCTTACACAGTAATGTCGGACCAAAACAGAAAGCCAAAAAAACAAATGTGACACAAAAAGCAGGTTGATATGGGATGTCATTCCAGAGGATGATAACATCTGGTGAATGATAAAGTGGGGGAAGGGAAAAACCAAAAAGAAAACCCCAATGACATTTGGACTATAACCAAACAAACCTTACAGGTTTTCAGTGACTACGTCATCTGGACACAAAACGCCCGTCAGTAGTGCTGCACTGAAGTTAAGACATGTAGTCAAGTTGAAACACACTTTCCACTCAGATAATGGTTTCCACAAATAAAAAAATAAAAGAGATCGCTAACGATCGACAAACACATGTTAAATAAATAAAGTTGTCTGTATATCAGATGAACCCTACATCGTCATGCATACAGCGTGCTCAGATTGGCGATTCTCATGAAAGCACTTGAGTGAGAACGATTTCAGCAGGTGAGAAAACAACAAACAAGATAGAAATCACATGTAGCTCATTAGCTTATCGAAATGTTAAAGACACAAGGCTCAAGTTTTTGAGTGCAGGTGTAAACCGTAAATAAAGCTGAAAAATATTTCTAGAAAATATGCAGTTAAAAAAAATCCTTTGTCTTCCTCTCTGGAATTCTTTCCCTGTTAAATGTTTTAATCTTGAATATCTGCTTTGCATTTTAACAGGAAGGCTAGAAAACATATCTATACATATACTTAGAACCTTTGGTTGGGTAAAAGAACCCAATAATCTCTCTGTTCAAGTAAAAGTGATTAGGATTAAAACAAAACAAAAGCAGATAAATACATATAGTATACACATGCTTATTCCCGTGAAATAATGCATCTCTCGCTGAGGTTTGGGATGCTACCCCAAGGCAGTATTACCAACATTGTGATAAATAATACTTACATATATGATCGTTTCCTATCGACTTCATCATAGCACGAGCTATGATCAGATTTCAAGAGTGCAAGAGCAGGAAGTCATGGCAGAGCTTCTTCTACCTTGCTCTGAGTTATTTGAATTACAAAGAAACACCACGCTGCTGCTGTTATTGCACAAATAAGATACACATTCAATGTGCGCACAAGAATAAGACTTTATGTTAGACAGATGCAGTCGCAATAAGTTAGGACAAACTGGAAGGCTCTGAATGGACTTTGTAACAACGGACACGGACGCATGTGGCTGATTTTGGTCGCGGTGAAGCTGTTGGGACTTTGGCTTTGAGTCCACTGGAGTTTGATGTGAACAAATATGGATAACATGAATGCAGACACTGGCTCAGACAAAAATACGTGGGGGCATAAGACTGATATCAGACGAGAAACGCTAAGAGAGGGGCCAGTGAGTTAGGAAAACACGCTCTGTGTGACAAGAAGAGGACGACGAGGCTCAGTCCTGAAGAAGACTCTCCTCGGACATCCACCCAAGCGAGGGAAGAGGCTGCTCACGTCTTGAGTATTTCAGCTGCAGGAGGTCGCCCACTTCACTGATGGCTTCCAATGCCTGACAAAGCAACAGGAAGAATGCAGTTAATCTCGATCCAAAATACAAGAAGAAAGCCACACAGTAAAAAAACAAAACAAAAAGACGGTACACATGCCAAAACTTAAGAGATTCAGCCAGACTGATAAGACTGGCTTTGATTTCTAACACGTCAGAGTGTTGAAGGAGGCGAGGAGTCCAAAAGCAGAGGTGAACAGAAGGCTCCCTGTATAAACCACAACTGAACACTTCTTTCCACCAGAGACTGTATCAGTGTTGCAACACACTGCAGGGCACCTGGAAACAATTTACCTTCCTCCTGACCTTTTTTCTGATTCCATGCTTTGCCTGGCTTTTCCAAAGACGGAAAAAACGGCTCCTAGAAGCTCTGCTACAAAGGCAGGCCTGATGCCGTTTAAACGGACTATTACAAATGGTGTTGACAAGCTTCCCAGTAAGATGAATGAAGTGTCTTTGGAGAGACAGAGCAGCTCAAATAAAAGTCTCTGCCTGAGTCACGCTGTAATCTTTAGAGACAGCTTGGCCCTTCTAGGTTCCTTCGAAATAAAAGGACATATTGGAAGCATTTATTATTCGACAGGCACGCTCACACATACATGGACTCGAACGCAAGGCACAAAAAGCTGTCAGTCAGCGGTCAGGCAGGCAGTTGATTAAAAGTGCAGGAATCCATGATCACCCACAGTGGATCAAAACAAACTCTTAAATCACATTGAGGATAAAATTAAGTCTTCAGCAATCAAATAGTCTATCCTGTAACAACAACTCTTGAACTGGCTTCAGTGGTGAAGGAGACCACTTAGAAGAGATCAGATGTGCCCCTCTCTTTAAGTCTTTGATGATATTTAAGAACTTATTGGAAGCTGCAGATCAGAAGTGGCACTTTTGCAAAGCTCTGGTTTTAGGTTGTGCTTTACAAAGCAACATTTCAAACTGTTTTTAAAAGAGTGAACAATATTTTCAACTCAGTTTTGCGCCAATTCTGCTTCCATGCGCACACAGATACGATTAACTTTTAGAGTAAAAACAGCCCATGCTGCAAGTATGAGTAAGGGGGGGGGAGAAGAAGATAAAAGTAAACTTTTGTGTTTCATGTTAGAAATGGGACTTACTGTATCGAGCATCTCTCTGGTGTGAGCGGCTGATACACAGAAGCGTGCTCTGGATTCGATGATGGGCGTCGCGGGAAAGCCGACGACCACTGTACCGATGTTCCTCTTCAGCATCTCCCGACCGAAGGCGCTGATAAGCAAAGGAAACTTAGACAAAGGGCAGTGTGCTGCTATTCATACGATGGATCTACGATTAATGTTCTCATTAAGTAAAAGGCTATATTAAAAACAGAGCATATGCTCTTGTGCAGCTATACCCCAAAAAAATCTAAACAAACAAAATAAAAAACACACCCGATTTTGGCCGGCATGTAGAGCATCAGCGGTACAACGGGGGAGTCATCGTTGCCATAGATGATAAAGCCCATTTCGTGCAGTCTTCTGCGGAAGAAGGTGGTGTTCTGTGAAAGCTGTCGGAGGCGATCAGCACCTGGAAAAGGTAGACAGAGATCCAACTGGGCTTCAGAAGAGTTATTCACAATTTTGAGTCAATCTTTTGAGTCCGTTTACTCTCTTTACTCCCTGAGATTTCTTCCTCTTGAAGAAGTATCAACTGATTCTTTGCATTTTTGTCAAATTAAATATTATAATCTCTATTAAGTTAACTTTTTTGCAATTGGAGACCTCAAGTATTCACCAAGTAACATCTCCCGGCCTTGATTAAAGCCCCTCCACATCAATGGTGCAACCACACAGGTGTTTTCACTAAATCTGCCTGATAAGCCCTCTTCAGTACAAATTGTTCCTGATTGGCATCCCCCCACCCCTCACTCCCCATTGCACCTGTCAGAACAGGAAAACTTACACTTTTATGGCACTTTATTAGTACATGAACTTCAGTGATCTCACGCATTCCAGACAACCTGAGCAGACGTCTAATCAGCCAGAGTGAAAGCACCTGTGAGGGTGTGCTGCTCCTTTAAACCACACCGTTCTGGTTACTGGTGCTTGTAAGCTTCGTAAAATTTCATTATCTGCTCTTTTTCTGCAGCCAAGTGAAGAAAACAGTGTGTACTTTACAGAGACCCCTCCCACCACCACTCATGACGTCTTTATTCCTCAATTTAGCTCGCTTTTGAGCACAACTGATCCAGAGTGAAATACGCAGTTGTGGTTCTAACAGCAAAACCATGTTAACAAAAACAAACAAACAAACAAAAAAAGTACAAAACTCTCAAGAGGGCCACATTGTTTCCAGCCTTCTAGTTATTTGAAGACTAGCTTTGAAGTCAAACAGAACTCTAATATTTTATGGTCAAGAGGTCAACATCAATCATGTGTCAACCTGATACATGTTGTGGATTCACTCACTGAGTCTGTCTGAGCCTCCAGAGATAGCATCGTAACCCAACAAATAACCATATGGCACAAAGCGCCAAGAGCAACACACATCTGCCTGGCTGTGCTCAAAAATGGAGCAGAAACAGCAGCTTCAGAGCACTAAGAGCAGTGTTGGGAAGGTTACTTTTAAAATGTATTCCATTACAGAATACATGCCCTAAAATGTATTCTGTAACGTATTCCGTTACGTTACTCAATGACAGTAATGTATTCTGAATACTTTGGATTACTTAATATATTATCATGCTTTTTACAACTACGTGAATGTACTATTGCTGTGTGATTTATTACTATTACTGAAGGTCCGCGACTCCGAACTGTAGTAAAGGGACCTCTGACTAATACGGCGGGGTCCCTGTCGGCTCGTAGCCGAAAACTAGCTTTACTTTGTTGTGTGGGTCAACTTTTCTTGCGAGAGACAGAGAGAGGCGTTGAAAGGCTGCTCCAACGGAACTTATTGTTTTCGGAGGAAAACACGAACACAGTGTACAGTCGAGTCTTAATAGCTTACTTACAACTGGGCTCGTCAGGCTCTCTTCTTGGCTGCAGTGGTTATTATTATTATATTTACATGCTTCCAGCTCCCGTTTTTCCTCGATGACTGCTCGTACCTTTCCACTCCCCTTTTTCTCGCTCCTCGCGCTCACAGACCCATAACGTGTATGGCAGTCCATTCTCCCTGCAACACGGACTACACTGCCCATGATGCTACATTCTTTAGAGCTATGCTTGTAGCATTCTGCCTGTTAGCTTAGCACAACAACAACGAAAAGGCGCTCTCTCACCCAGGAAACACAGTGCAAAGAGCGCCTGTAACCATGGCAACCGTAACGCTGCCGCCTGGAACAACAGAACGTAGCTGTCAAACAAACCCAAACAGTCCTGACCCGCGACAACATGAAACAGGAAAGTACCCCAGTGTAATCCATTTATTTCAACAAAGTAACTGTATTCTGAATACCACCTTTTTAAACGGTAACTGTAACGGAATACAGTTACTCATATTTTGTATTCTAAATACGTAACGGCGGTACATGTATTCCGTTACTCCCCAACACTGACTAAGAGACACAACAAAGTCTGACATTACACTTAACCACATGCTTCTTTTCCAGTCAGGGGATCCAAAGGTATCCACCGAAGAGTGGAAGATTCTTAAACCTCCTTATATACGGATGAAAGCTTTGTCTACTTTTAGGTCGTCTACATATATTTGATTAATATAAGCTTACAGGCTTTCAGCAACAACAACAGTTTCGCAGGCGGCTCAAATGTCACTCATGACTTTGTGTCAGCGCCTGGATCTTCAAAGGGTTTCATTTCGAGGGCTGACGGGGCTGCAACCAATCAAACCGTAATAGTTACTGCTGCAATGCTGCAAGGTCAGCTGGTCTGGCCTACTCCTCTCAGACTAACTTACAGGAAAAGCTGATGACACTGTAGAAAGACAGTGACAAAGGTTAACACCAGATGTTTATTCCTATGCCTAATGAGTTTCATTTCATCTTATATCAGCATGTTTTGGAACTCCAAGTCAGTCAAGCCCTGTGAAGAGTAAAGGGGTCCCACCCTGCAAGAAAACAAGACCCTATCATCTATTTGTGTGTGTGTAGGAGAGTCCAGCAGAGTTTGATCTGCACAGACCTCTGGTCGCGAGCACCATGCTGCTTTGTACCCACAGCGTGAAGGAGCACAAACATATACAAAGAAACACACATCTGAAAGCCATAAAGGGGGAGAGGGGAGGGGCAGAATAAAGTCTTCCATCAGCCTGGACTGAACTGGACAAAAGAAAGGAACCGTTAACAACCAAATGGAAGAGCCACAATCACACAAAGTTCAGAGCCTGACCAACATATGTTGGTTTGCCAAATGTTCTCAGCTAACTTCAGACCAACACAGATATATTGCTATCAGTGTATATGTTGTCAAATATGCAACTGGGCTTGGGAAGAGTTCATTTAGAATCAACGTTGTAGGCGAGCTTATTATTAACTCAACGTGTTGCAGCAGATAGCCACCCTCCTCGAGCCAAGACTTGTTCTCATTATTTTTAAAGAGAACATAATGCAGAAAAAAAGTGCCTGTAGTAATCTGGTCTCATCACATGCTTTGTCCAGCAGAGCGCGCTCCAATCTCAATGTTTATAACACGTAGTACCATGGACAACTAATCTATATGTGTCTGATACTTTTAAATAAATAAATACTGCATTTCTCAGTCCCTGATAAAGTTCTGAGCCTAAAACTCCATCATCAGTAAGCCAACAGTTTTTAAACATATTTAGAAATCAGAATCAGAAGTGACTTGTACTAAACTTTGCACCCCATGCTGCAGTCACACGTGACACTGTCAGATTGTTTCTTATATAATATGGGCATGTACCTGTGCAGCATTTACAGCACACCCAGAAAGCTTTAACACACACACGCACTTTGATAAAGTGGCCTGACACACCTTTATGTATAGGTAAATATTTACCAGTTAGCTAATAACACTGGCTTTTATCACTAGCTGTGATAAAATATAGACCGTATGAAGGAGTAGAAAAGCTGGCAAAGTTGATTAGAAATTAAATAAAAGCAATACCATAGTAATTTTGCATCCAATAACCCACCAATATGTCTGCAGAATAATATCGGAATGACTGGTCTATACTGCCATCTTGTGGTTATGTCAAATAATAGCAGGAAAACTGACCACAAACACAAGGTTAAAATTTCAGCGATTTCTTAAGTGTTGCAACCAAAACAAAACTGCAGGGGGAAAACAAAAAAACCCAAACCATACCAAAAACCATTTGTAATTAAAATTTTAAAGATTCAACTTTAATATTTGATTTGCCGGGCTAATTAACATAACTTCTATTTGCAATTTGACCACCAAAATGTTTCTGCACAACAATAAATAAGCAGTTATCAGAAACAGTTTACGGATAAAAACACCGTCTACACTTCCCTTCCAGTATTCCAAACAGCTGTGAGCAGTTTTCCACCTACCCAGTGTGGTCCCATCTTCTCCCATGATGATCTTCATAGAGGTGATTATCTGCTGGGCCACAGGAGGGGACATAGAGGTGGCATACATGGCGCTATGAGAGTGGCGGCGCAGATAGTCAATCAGCTCCTGACAGAATGCAATTAAAGTGAGGGGGGGGAAAAGTATCACTAGGACAGTTGGGACATGATTTTTTTATTGTATTTTATTTTATTTTATTTTTTAAACGTGGCATACTTGAGTTTTTCAAACTGTCATTTCTAGCTCAAAATGAAAGCATACACTCAATCAGATCCTATGTTGTAAAACAGGAAGCTGAATTCTACTTTACCAGTAAACACTGTTGGCCAACACTGAATTAAGCAATTTAGGAGTTAGGAAACTACTCAAGCTATTGACTATGAGTAAGTGTCTCAATACTGTAATAACCATGAACCATTGCTTTGACTACTTCACATTGCACAGACTAGACTTAGCCTTCTGAACACTGGCAGCAGTTCACTAACCTTTTTGCCTCCAATATATCCCCCAGCAGCCCCAAAGCTTTTGGTGAATGTTCCCATCATGATGTCAACATCTTTGGAATCCAGGCCAAAGTAGTCCACCACTCCCCTGCCATTAGGGCCCAGGGCGCCGATACTGTGAGCCTCGTCCAGGTACAGGTAGGCCTTGTAGCGCTTCTTCAGAGCTATGACCTCCGGCAGGCGTACGATGGACCCCTCCATACTTCAGGATTATGAAAAAAAAAAAAGAAGAAGAAAGAAACTAAATTAAACGTCTGCAACAAACCTAAAGCCATTATTAACAAACACCCACAATCTGAACCAAAGCACCAGAAGGCTGCTGTGTAAAGCAGTTGACATCAAAAGGTACATGCCTAACACTTGCAGGGCTGTTTATGCATAGGTGATAGACTGTACTCTCAAACAGAGTACAGTCTATTTTAGCAACATAAGGTTTAACTCTAGAAATCCCTGTGGAAATGAAACTCCATTAACATTGCATCAGTAAAGGGCACCGACTCTTTCAGGCAGTTGGTCTGAGAACTATATTGATCAACAGGATTGATTGTCCTTATAGTAAATCCCTTCAAAGAACAAGGAATTAGGGGTGCAACGATACACAATTCACGGTTCGGTACTTTGGTGATACAAAAAAAAAAAATGTTTATTCCTTTTTAATTTATCATTTATTAAAATTATAAATATATATTTTAACTCAAAAGTACAGTTTTTAAATTTAATGTTGCTGAAACAACAAAATTAATCTGATCGAGGAATCACTCATCTTTGGAAAAGAGAGTTTATTACAGAGAAATGGCTCTTTCCAAAATAAAAGCTATACTATAGCTTCTTCTGGGCTATATTCTCAGCAGCATATTAAACATATCAGGTCCCCATAAGGAGAATCAGGTGCTAACGGCTGTCTAAATGACTGCGGTAAAGTTTGTAGCATGCGTGCTTGTTGTTTTTGTCGGCTTCCACTCGTCTTTGCACTAGGATGATGTCGGAGTAAATGTGCAGTCATATTCTTTGTGTTCCCACAGACAGACAGCTGCTATGTTGCTCAAAGACCGATCAACCAGCTCACATGGACAGATATCCATGTTAGTCCCACACCACCCAAAAAAAGAAGCTGTGGTTGAAGAAGCTAACATATTAAACTACCAATCTGATAACACCACCTATGTGTCATGATATCAGAAGTGGCTAATTGTTATCTCTTTGGGTGCAGCTGTCTGCCTTGGCTAGTGGCAGATGGTCATGTAACAACTTACACCCAACCACAGTAGTATAGTCATAAAATATTAATAATTAATTTGATTTGCAGTATTTATGAGGTTGAAATGACTAAGTATACATTACCAGCTCACACACCATATAATCTATGCTAATTCGTTAAGGCAGTACATTATTTCGTTTAGGCAAGTGTAATGCTTTAGAATAGTATTTTATCGTGCTGAAAAACCACAAAAACTGCTGTCTGCACCTGTAGATGCCCTCCACCACAATAAGAATTTTCTTCCAGGGTCGGTGGGTTCTCGGCTGCCCGTGCACGATGGCATCTCTCAGTAGCTTCTCAAGGCTTTGCATGTCTACAACACAAAGGAGTTTGTGAATAAATGTTTGTTTTAGGTTACTCGTTAAATCACTGACAGTAAGAAAAGCCAAGTAATGAAAAGACAAGCAAATTTAAGGATTAACATTTTCCCAACAGAAATATGAGACCTGTGTTAAATGGATGAACAACTCTGTCAATATTTCATGATCACAGAGCATTTTCTCAGAAGCCACACAGCCTGGTTCCTGCCTGCTGACTACACGTCATGATCTAAGCTGTGTGTGTGTGTGTGTGTGTGTGTGTGTGTCATGTTTTTATCCTGAGCCGAAAAATAACCACACCCTATAATGTGTTATTTAGCACTGGAAACAATACAGTCAATGTATAACTGCAGACGTGAGTAAGCAAGTCTCCAAAAAATAGTTTGGATTTTATAAAAGCAGCATGTTGAAACGTACGCACACACCCACGCTGAATGTCTTTGCTATCCTTTTGACTTAACGGGAATTATTGTTAATTGTTGCATAGAGTTGAAAGATCCATTCTAATCCTTTGTCTCCAGTGTAATGTCAAGCTTTGGGTGTAACGCAAAATACAGCTCAACTGCTTGCAGGTCAGAGGTTTAAAACTGGAAGTCACTCACTGTTGTGTTTGAAGACCCGAATCGTGGAGCCCGACAGACGAGCACCCAGCACCAGTGACGTATGATTCAGCTCGTCGCTCAGGATGAGGCAACCCTACAACCGCAAACAGAAATGAATTTTTCAAATAAAAGCGACAAAGTTTAGACATTTTCACGTAACTTTAGCAGCTCACCAAGTAGCCAGAACAGCAGAACGCCATTATTTCTCCAGAAATGTATATAGCTCAGAGTCTTCGCTCATCCTTGTTTAGGGATGGATCTATTGCTATTTAGGTTACACTTAAGGTAAGCCTTTAGTACAAGAGGCAAATATTACAAGAAGAAGTCGCATAACTGACACACTATGCCTGCCAAAGGGAATTTTTATTACATTGAAGAGTGAATTAAATATGACAGATAAAAAATGGATCGATAATTGTTAAGTTCATACAGATTGAAAGCAAAAAAGACATCATTAAAAGTAATACCAACCCGTTTAAAAAAAACAAAACAAAACAAAAACAGATAACATAGCAAAATGGCAGCCTGCCCAGCTCTTAAAATCAGCACGCCCAAACGGTCAAATAAAAGTTCCTCTAGCCAATGAAAACCCGAGTTCGTTACAACATCACACTATGAGGACAAGGATGTGAGCTAGTAGAAACGTGACAACCACGGTTAAGAATTTATTAATGTTTATGACCAGAGCAGTCTGATTAAATGTCAGTCTCGATGTTGTTCCCTTTCCCACGTTTGTCATTAATGGTCATAAAGACGTATGCTCTGACTCACAAGGTGCAGTGACAGGCGCCTATCAGCACAGGTTTCTACCTCCCCACCAGCTACAGAAGAAAAGCATCACGGCTGGAACAACAGGAATTCCAACACTCAGATGTTTTGAAAACTTTCCCAGAAACTAACGGGTTTTAGAACAACCTGAACTCTACAAGTGTGGCTATCCATCTGAAAAAAATACCCTGTTTTTGTTTGTTGTTGTCGTTTTTTAATCTTGTCCCCTCTGGCAGCCTCTGCAATCTGAATTATGATCCGAATGCATGATTGTGCCAAACACATTTTGGTTTTCCCACCAACACAACACCCCAGGCCCCACACCCAGAGACCTCGATTAAACCTGTTTGACCAGGATGTATTATGAATGGAGTGATTTTTTTCCAACTGTTTTGGCAAGGCCTTTGTAAAGTATTTAGTTTTACATTTATAAGTGACATTGGGCAGTAGCTCTGTGGGAGGGCAGGATCTTCGCCTGGTATCCAGTAAGTATCCCATTTTCACTTTATACAGGAAGAGGTGGGTTTCCTCAGCAGAAATTGCTGTTACCAACACTCACAAAGGGTTCAACGTGATAACATACGTACAGACTCAGATGAATACATTTGAGTGACAATGGAAGTGAATGAAATTCCTCACCTTCCCCATGAGAGCAGGAATATTCATGGAATTGGTTGCAAAACCCATGCCAAAAGCCATGGCTGACTCAACTCCCAGAAACCTGGCAACCAATTGCTCCATTTCCTCGTGGATGTCCAAGTTTCCTGAAAAATCACAGCAGCTCTTCAGGTTCCTCTAATATTTAAATTACAGACTTTTCTCTAAGTCACGCTGCCTTTTCTATCATATCGGTGAAGTCAGTCCATTTCCCTTAAGCTACACCCCCCCCAAAAAAAGTAAAGAAAAAAAGTAAAGAAAAAGAGAAAAAGAGAGCAGCATACTAGGTGCTGAACTGTAAAAGGATTTGAATTTCAAAGCTCCCATCACAGATTATTATTTCAGCACTTGAGCTGTGGCTACTGATGCATCCTGAAAGTGAAAACAAATGTGGAGCAGCGGTTTAAGTGGAAGTGGAGAGTCTGGGCAATTCCACTTTTACTCATAGTGGAAAAAAGCATCCTTGAAAGATGACGAATCACAAGAAGGATTTCACAGACCAAATGTCAACATTCAAAAGATTTCACCCCTTACCCATCTCACAGCGAGTGCTGCCCACTCCCACTCCATACATTTTCGTGACCTCGAGAGCAGCATCGGCACAAGCTCCGGTGTTCTCAGCGAAGCCGAGGTAGTTGTATGAGCCCATGTTGATAACGTCCTTCACCACTTTGCCTGTATGCCTGACGAGAAGAGACAGAAAATTGGGTTTAAAAAAAAAGTTGTTTCTTTAACCTTGTTTGCTCATTTTGCAATGCAAATCTTTTTTAGTGTTTACATTTCAGCTTCCAATGTTATCATGCGCATTGGAACAATAAACTTATGTTATCAATAGAATTTGGCAGGTATGCTGCATTTTTTAAAACAATAGATACTAATCAGAGAAATATTTTTAAAGAATGATAGTCTTTAAAATAAGCAGAGCAGTTTATTGACAGCTACTGAACTAAATTCAGTAGCTGTCAATAAACTTTTCAACTCTTTAATTACAGATCACTTAACATTATAAAGACCCTACTGTACCCTATTGTAGGTAGCATGTGCTAGCTCGTGCTACCTACAATAGGGAGAAATAACAACATCCCCTTTAACAGAAAGAAACTTAGAGCAGAGCCGGACTTTATGAACAAAAGTATTGGGCCACACCTGTTTTCAGCCCTACTGCCAAATGCCATACACACCTGGCTTTGCAGTCTGCCTTCACAAACTTTTGTGATATAATCAGTCGTTCTAAAGCGCTCACTGAATTCCAGCATGGCACTGTGACAGGATGCCACCTTTGCAACAAGTCAGTTCATGAAAGTTTTCCCTCCCAGACATTTCATGAGCAGCTGTAAGTGGCATTATTGCAAAATGGAAGCATTTAGGAACCACAACAACTCAGCTACAAAGCAGTGGACCTTTTAAAGTTACGGTGGATCGTAGGTAGAGCTGGGCGATAGAACGATAACGATATGTATTGCGAAATAACTTTTCTATCAAGGAAAAGTTAAACTATTGCGATAGGCCTCATCTCTCTTGTCCTCTTTAAAAAAAAGAAAGAAAAGAACAACAGCCAATCCAAATTAAGTAGCGCAGAGCCGAACCAATCACAGCCGCAGCGTCACGTGACTTGTTATGTGCCACACATGTGTATTTGTTTGGGAAGCAGCCAGCGGTAATGGAGGAAATGACTGACTAGAGAAAAATCAACCGAGCGTGACCGAAGAGAAAACAGA